CATATTTTTGTCAAAATCCCTCATTTATATATCTAGTAATGATGATTTAGTTCAATTTAATGGTTTTTCTATATATACAAAAATTTACTCTTTATTTGGAAAGGAGAAAAAAGGAAAATATTGGAGGAAGGAAAATAATAGAGGAATATAATGAGGAATTATCACTTTCTTTTAATATTTATTTTCCATCTCTGTATTTGGATATAATTATGGAAAGAAAATAAATTTATTTTCCTTTATTCGGAAAGAGTAAAACTTTAGAGGAAAGAAAATGTTATTATTGAAAATTTACAATGATGTCTTCACTTAAATATTGGAGTACTAAGAAATGGCCGAATCATTAAAAAAATCTAAACTTTGTGGATGGTTTTAATTATATCATATATTAAACTTTCTTATCCTAGCACCTAAAACTTCTATTTTAGTTACAATAACACCTCAATTTCAAATTATATATAATTTAATGAATAAAATATTATTTTCATTAGATTTATAGGTGAACAAAAAAAATATTTACCCTTTAACAACACCTTAACTAATATTGATTAAGGATTTAAATTTATAAAAAGCCAAATAAAATAATAAAATTTTAGTTAGTTATAAATATAAAATATTAGTTTAGGTTCTTGTTTTCCCATTTTTTTAGTGTAGACTTTTATTTATACTTAAGTTGGATCTTTTATAAAAATAGATTTTATTCATTACGATGTCATTTTATTTTTTAGAAAATCACTATTTATTGTCAATATTATATAAATAAATAAAAATAGTTCAATATTATATAAATAAATTAAATATTTATTTTATTTTTAAGATGAATAGATTATTTTTATTTTAATATTTATTTATTTATGAGCAGTGGTAATGAGAATGAATCCGGTTTGGGGAAAAAGTTAAATTGGGTCTTACAAAAATAATATTTTATTTATTAAATTTGTACAATTTGAAATTAGGGTACTATTGTAACTAAAGTTGAAGTTCAGGGTATTAGGAGAAAAAAATTAGATTTATGGTACAATTAAAACTGCCGGTAAAGTTTGAGATTTTTTTAATGATCTAGCCACTAATAAATGGTTAAAATTTTCTTAATTAATTTGGAGTATTTAGATAATTTAATAAAAATTAATGAAAATCTCACTTTGCTCCATTATTTTCTCTCCAACTTGAAGAGACTCAAAACATGTGAATCCATTTCAAAAAATATATATATTATATGGATCTGGATGGAAAATAAGTGAAATATTACTTTTTTTTTTCAATATTTTCCTTCTCCTTCTCAAATAAGGAAATATATATATTTTCCATAGGTATTTTTCTTTCTTCAAAAAAAAAAAAAAAAAAAAAAAAGCAAAAAACAAAAAAAAAAAAAAAAAAAAACTCTCTTCCAAACCAATTTATGTAATTGCAGATTATTCAAGTCGATTTTGTACGTCCGCTGAAATATTCATTCATAACTATTAACCTTTGTTCCATAATACTTGTCAATATTTGAGAAAATAGTTTGTTAGCAAAAATACTTGTCATATTTGTGGTTTCAATTGAGTAAATAAATATATTTTCATGTCTAGCCCTTTGTGTGTGACCAATATTATATTACTTCAAATTTAATAATTTTATTTATAGAGTTAGTATTAATTAAAGGGGTAATTATAGTCAATTTAATTAATTTAATAATTTTCTTAAGCATATAAATATTTTACATGTACAAGTATTATGGAATAGGAATAAGAAGTAGTAAATATATATCTCTTGAGAAAAAAAAAGAAAAATAATAATAATAATAAAATTTAGGCAATATTTGTATAGCAGAATTTATAGCACTCATCTTTCAATTTTTTGACGAAGGTAGGCATGGGTCTTTGTTGCGGATGCATTTTTGTTATTTCATCGAAACGGCCTTTGCAGGAAGAGATACATCAAATTTGTTGAATAAGACGTTTTCCATGTTAAAAATTACTCATCGCAAAACAAAAAAAAAAAAAAAAAAAAAAAAAACTCTCTTCCAAACAATTTATGTAATTGCAGATATTCAAGTCGATTTGTACCCGCTGAATATTCATTCATAACTATTACCTTTGTTCCATAATACTTGTCATATTTGAGAAAATAGTTTGTTACAAAATACTTGTCATATTTGTGGTTTCAATGAGTAATAAATATATTTTTTCATGTCTACCCTTTGTGTGTGACCAATAATTATATTACTTCAATTTAATAATTTTCTTATAGAGTTAGTATTAAATTAAGGGTATTATAGTCAATTTATTAATTTAATAATTTTCTTAAGCAATATAAAATTTTACATGTAACAAGTATTATGGAATAGGAATAGAAGTAGTAATATATATCTCTTGAGAAAAAAAAAGAAAAATAATAATAATAATAAATTAGGCATATTGTATAGCAGAATTTATAGCAACTCATCTTTCAATTTTTTGACGAGGTAGGCATGGGTCTTTGTTGCGGATCATTTTGTTATTTCATCGAACGGCTTGCAGGAAGAGATCATCAATTTGTGAATAAGATCGTTTCCATGTTAAAATTACTCATCCAAAACATATCCGTTTAGCATTCCTAGAAGAATTATCCAATTCGCACACGCAAATTTCGTTGGCCTTTTTGTTACTCGAATAAATGAATGTTTAGTAACTACTCGCCCTGTCATAGTGACACATCATCATCAATATTAATCCATAATACGTGGAAAGATAAAGTAGCGAGTTAATTCATAACCATTGCGTTCGGTTTCTCCGTCCAATTAGATAAAAGGGTCTTGGGGTCTGTGACGTGGGAGTTGCATTCTAGAAGAAAAAGTTAACGATTTGATGCGTAACACCGTAAGCAAACAGTCAATCATGGATACAATTGTACGATTTCAACAGAGGAAGCTAATTTTTGAAGAGATTTTTTAAAAAATCATTTTTATTTTTTACTAATGGCAATCATGGATACAATTGCTATTAAGGAAAATTGTCTCGATTTGTAAATTTCTATTTTTTTTCCTTTTACTGCATACCATACTTCATTTTTATTAAATGATTTTATTGAATTAATTGAATTTATGTTTGCATTTATACATTATGTATAAAGCTCTTTTTTTATAAACTAAATAATATATGTTAAAACACTGAAGAATGATGGGATAGTTATAAAATTATCCTCCAAAAGTTTTGTTATTCTTTATGAGTGCAAGTATTATTTAGTTATCCAATTTCAAATATATTATTTAAAATCTTTATCCTCAAAATTTAATTATAAGGATATATAATATAATAAGACAACATTAATAGAATATATAATCTATCTATATATATTTATATTTGTGTGACATAATATTATGAAATTTTATTTTCAAAATTTTTATTTAATTATCTAATTTCAATAAATCAATTATAAAAGTTTTCAGTTCCTTTATTTTTCTTTATCATACAAATTCTTATTTTTTTATGTTCAACATATTTTTAGATAATGAAAAAAAATTAATATCTTGAACAAAAGACATCTATGATTAAAGATTAATTTTTATTAATTATTTTTATTTTATTAGTGTAGAATTCTTTTATCATTTTTAAATTGATAAAGAAAGTCAGAAAAGTAGTTTTTATTTTGATAATCAAAGAATAAAAAAAAGGTAAAAGATAAGTATTTTTTTTCATCATATTAATTGATTTACATATTTTAATCAAATTTGATTCATATAAATTATTTATAAGTGTGCGGGTATACGACTAGTTAAATACTAAAACTGGAATCCTAATTAGTATAAAAACTAAAAATGTAAGCATCACATTTAATTATACTTAGCAATTAAATTACAGAAATATATTTATGATTTATATATTATCTTCTAGAAATTTGTTTTTTATTTTTTAGAGGTTAAATGAGCAAAAATAATTTAATATTATTAGACTTTTAAAACAAATAAAAAGCATTAAAAACAAAAATAAACTGAATTTGTTGTTAATTTACATTAATTTTGAAATAATTCTTACAAAAGAATACTGAATTAAATTCTTGAAAATCATATTATTTCTTTTTATATTTTGGAAAAGAAACAAAACAATTCAAATATGCAGCATGCAATGTAAATTTTATAAAATTAAAATAAACATTTAGTAAATGTTTAAGCTGGGAATGGCATATTAAAGTTTCAAGATAGTTCGTATTAATATGATTTGCAAAACAAGTAAAATAAAAGCGAACATGGAATGAATTTATTATTTATGATATGAGTTAAAACGGATTGATTCGTGAACATTTATAATTTTTTTAATTAAATCTATTATGTTGTTAAATTATTATCCCTCGTTTCGTAAATTTGATAATTTTTTACTCATTCCGTTCCATTTTATTTGTATGGTTTGATAAAACACGCATATTAATAATTTAGTTAAAAAAAAGTTATTTTCCTTTTTTTCCTTAATTCATTAAGATATTAATAAATGTCCTTTATTTAATGAACAACGATAAATGTTATTATGAAAAAAAATAATTATTTACATATCTAAATTTAAAAACCTTGTAACCATTTTGAGACATTCAAATAAAAAATAATAAGTAAAGAAAATGAGACGGAAGCAGCATTTTTTATAAGAACTAAGAAAGTAATTAAATTACTTCAAATGCATTAAAAAAATGAGAATAATTGCCTATATAATATTTAATTAATGCTCATTAAATTAAAATAAAATTTAATGTAAATATCTAAATAAGAATAAAGTTAGAAAAAAATAATAAATCAATGTTACTTTCATTTTCTAAAACTAAAAATATCATTTAAATAAAAATAAAATAAAAAATTGTCAAATTTAACCAAACAGATAACTATAATATTATTAGTAATAAAACAGTCAATTAATATTCCAGTATTTCAGGGATTTTGTTGAATTTTATAACTAAGGTAGCAGCATACATTTATTTAATTGAAAATGTTAATTAAGTGTATTCTCAGATTGCCTTGGATAGTAACGGCGTAAATCAGCGTTTACTGTACCAGACGGTGAAGTTAGTTTACAATTCTGTTAGAAGATGAGTTTTTTTGTGTGCAGAAAAAGGAAAAAAGCCCCAAAACTGAAACACAAACCAAAACTAAATCATTTCATTTCTTCTTTCTATAAGTATTTACACAGACGCTACCGCGAAAATACTAAAAAAGGAATCATGTTCAAACCAGATTCATCCTCTTCCTCATCTTCATCCTCCATATTAGCTCGTGGCCGGCTGGCCGTGCTCACCGCTCATCTCGCGGTTGCACCGCGGCTGGATTCGCCTATCGTTTTGGAGGCTCAGGGAGTATCTGCCCTTGTTGTTCCTCCGGGGAACCTTCATGGCACGTTGACCGTCGTTGATGAGAGGACGGGTAAGAAGTACCAAATTCCGGTCTCTGAAAATGGCACCATCAAAGCCTCTGATTTCAAAAAGGTATTATTGTTATTCTTATTATTATTCCCGTTTATTATCTATTCCTGTGTACTCGCCTTTCCGTTTTCTGCTTATGAGTGTGATCTTGAGAGTTAACTATTGATGTTGTTGTATGATCATGAATTTCTCTCTTGTCATAGTATTAGTTTCCATATGGTTTGTCTTAATATGCGATTGATCTAGTACGTTTGGAATCACAGATATCGACGGGGAAAAATGACAAGGGACTGAAACTTTATGATCCGGGCTATCTGAACACAGCTCCTGTTCAGTCTTCAATTTCTTACATCGATGGTGATGAGGGTATTCTCAGATATAGAGGCTACCCAATTGAGGAATTGGCTGAGAGTAGCACTTTCTTGGAAGTGTCTTACCTCATACGTGAGTACCCTTTGTTAGTAACTCGTTGATCAATGATCATAGATTTCAAAGGGATCAACATCTTAATTGAATAAATTGAGGGAGTTTTTACTTTTTTTTTGTTAAATAAATTGAAAGGTTCATTTGTAACTTAAACTACCTATTGCATTTAGTTCTCTAGAAAAACAATTTTTGTGAGTCAGAGGTATGCCAACCTGCATTACTCTATGTTGCTGTCATAATGGGAACTATAACAATTTACAGTTATAGTAACATAGTAGCAATAGTGACTTAAACCATCGTGTAGTAACTTGCACATAAGCCTGAAGAAAATGAAGTAGCAGCCTCTTTTCTTGTGATTGATTCTGCCAATATCTGATTTTTGATTTTGATGTCAGTCATATTGTTAATATCATGTTTAACTAAATAGCATCTCCAAGGAAATGTGAACTGTGGAGGCGATAGTTTCATAACAAATGGTAAAAAAGATTTCCAGCTCGTGAGTATCTTTATAAGTCAAAAAATTTATCAATATTGTCCATGAATATTGAAAATGGGACCAAACATGTAATGTAATTTGCATGAGATTTAGCAGACATTTTGGATCTTTATATGAGTTTAATGATCTAGGTTAACTTGGAGCTTGAGTGGGAACGGATGAACAAGGAATGGTTATATTAGAAGGATGTTTGTGCGAATTGAGATGTCATCAATGAAAAAATTTTTTTTTTTTAAAAAAAAATTGAAAATGCTAAAAGAAACTTTCTTTCTCATTGATTTTAGCTCTTAAGAATTAGGATATCATTGCTATAATTAACAAAACTTCTTAATGTATCAAAATGACATGCCTCGATCTCAATTTGTATGTGACATAGTTTACACGCCTCAAAGATGTGAAGAAATCTAGTAATTAGTGTGCTGGAGAGTGTATAAGAACCACTGTAATTTCCAAGGGAATTGTTCTGTTTTTTATCATTCCATTTGTTTCATTGCTGTTTTGCTTACTATGGAATTTTTTACAGTGGTTGGGCAGAAAGATGAGGTGGTTAATTTTTTATTAACTAAATATTTACAAATTTCTACTTTTTCATTAATTTTTAAAATTTTTATCTGTCTGTTTCCTCCATATCTGCATCAACTCTATTTATCCAGTGGATATCTTATAAATGTACTTCCTTGTCTCAGTTTATGGGAATTTGCCATCTGAAAATCAGTTAGCAGACTGGGAATTTGCTATTTCTCAACACTCAGCTGTACCACAGGGCATTTTGGTATGTATTACTCTCTTCTTAATCACATTAGCAAAACATTATTCTGAGAGTGCAATATCAAATTCTTTTATGTTCTTTAATCTGTATCCATTTCCTTAAATCTATCATTGCTTTAACAATTCTTTGTAAATGCTGTAAACCCAATTTTAGGATTAGCATTTCTGGTAGATAAAAGGCGAGTGATTCTTCCTAGGAGCTTATGTTGTAATATGTGGACTTGTGGTTCCAAACTTCAGTTGTGCCAGGGAATTTAGTATGACTTGTGAATGGATTTAATCTGCACATGTGCTCCCTCCCTCTCTCTCTATCTGTGTGTCTCCACATACATGCACGAACAGATGCCCATAGTGACATATGGATTCATACCTCATAAGTCACTTCCTTTTTCTTTCCACTTTGAGAAAAGGTTCCTTAGCTTTTGCTTCAGAGTAGAGTATATTGCACTTTAACCACCTTAATCAATAGGGGGAATATTGATAAGATAATTACTTCCATTGCTAGGAAAAATTTGAATGGCTATGGCATGGTGTTGATAGAAACATAAAGTTTCTGGATTACCGCAATGCGTTCTACGTGGTTCATAATTAATTTATCTTTCCCTTTGTGAAGCAAAATATCCATATAACTAAGTTTTAGAATTCTCTTGATATTGCGATAAAGTTCCATTATGAAGGTGAAGTGGTGAAGCAGCTAGATTTTCTAAAATGGGGAATTCTGAGTTTCTGTATATGAGCTTGAAGTGTGTCTCAACTCTACCATGTAGAAGCTCAACTAAGTTGTTTTCTATAACAAATCATATGAAAATTTTTTATTCATAAGTTAAACTGAACTTTTATTTCTGACAGAAAGTTCTTCAATTGTTTTGCAGGATATTATACAGGCAATGCCTCATGATGCACACCCAATGGGTGTGCTAGTTAGTGCAATGAGTGCTCTTTCTATCTTTCATCCTGATGCTAATCCGGCTCTTAGAGTAAGTTTATAGTTTAGCTTTAAGACTGGGAGAACTCCATTGAAATTTCTTTGAATACTTTAAGTTCATAGTAATAATCTACATAGTTTTCGAGTGGCTCTTGAAGTAACTCATTATTTTAAGATTGGCATAATTTAGCTGTGTAGCATATAATTTGGTTTAACAATTGGCCTTTTCAGTTTTATGTTAAATCAATATGTTAAGGTGTGATGGTGTGAGCACGTTGATATTCATTTTATGAGGAATTTGGATGTTTCTTATAATCATCTTTTTATTGGTATAGGGGCAAGATCTTTACAAGTCCAAACAAGTGAGAGACAAACAAATTGCACGCATACTTGGGAAGGTTTAGTGTCTACACAATTTTTCCTTGCTCCCTCCCTCCCTCCTTCTCTCACCTTGACTCAAGAAAAATGGTTTAATAAACTGCCTATGCTGTGGCATTGGTTTTCCAAGTACATGTTTTTCTATTTAAATTGGTACTGCAGCATTTCTCCAGCTGTGGGCTTCATACTTCATGATCAGTCAACTGATTCATGTAAAATTTTGTAGGCCCCAACCATTGCAGCAGCTGCTTATTTGAGGTTAGCAGGCAGGCCACCGGTTCTCCCTTCAAGCAACCTTTCTTATGCGGAGAACTTCTTGTACATGCTAGACTCATTGTAAGTGTTGTATCTTTTGTTCTCGCTGATATCTGGATAAACATGCATGTTTTTCTGAAATGCTAGTTTGTTCTCTTTGATATGATGAGTATTTCAATATATGTTGTGTGAACAACAATCTCTGTCTGATCTTCTTTTCCCCCCTTCCAATTTTTGATATTCCATTTTTATTGCTAAGAGAAAAAAAATGTTATTTCAGTTTGTAAAGTCTAGGAATGACTTGCCATATTGGCTTATCTTTTTACCGAAGTAAAAGTCATTGCTGGGATGAATATCTTTCCTAATTAGAACTCCCTCGCCATGAACTTGCAGAGGTAATCGATCTTATAAACCTAATCCTCGACTTGCACGAGTTCTAGATGTTCTCTTCATTTTGCACGCAGAACATGAAATGAATTGCTCTACTGCTGCTGCCCGGCATCTTGCGTCCAGGTACTTATCTTAATGCTCAACTGACATAAAGCCGCCCTTAGTCTTTTCTGACTTTTGGAGTGTGCACTTGTAGTGGTGTTGATGTATACACTGCTCTTGCTGGGGCTGTTGGAGCATTGTATGGTCCTCTTCATGGTGGAGCAAATGAGGTAGAATACTGGCATGCTTCCATTGTTAAATTCCATGTGTAAAAATAGTTTATGGCTTTCACTCTTTCAACCATTTCATTAGATCTGTTTTCAGATTATATTTTTGTGCCAACATGAAGCTAGCTTCTTTTTGTTATTTTGTGTTGCCACCAGTCAGTAAGCCTGTTTCTGTCACTCTATTCTTCTAGGCTGTGCTTAAGATGCTGAGTGAGATTGGAACTGTTGAAAACATTCCAGATTTCATTGAGGGCGTAAAAAGCAGGTAATGTTATTTTTGACTTGCATTGCATGTTGGCTTGGTGGCTTCCTTCACAGTGGAGGTGCTCTTTTTTTTTATTATTTTTTTTTATTTTTTTTTATTTTAAATTCAAAGTTTTGATTTTCTTGCACCTTTCCATTTCATTAAGGAAGCGAAAGATGTCAGGTTTTGGGCATCGAGTATACAAAAACTATGATCCCAGAGCAAAAGTCATTAGGAAACTAGCTGAGGAAGTGTTCTCCATTGTTGGTCGAGATCCACTTATTGAGGTGATTCCTAACTTTCCAGCATGTCCTATCCAGTTATCATGCTTTATTTTGCACTGATTGTCTATAGCTCTGCAAGCTCCCTTGTTGAAGTTACTAAATCTTTATCAACTCAACATGGGAGTTAGTATGAGAAGCTAAATAATTGATGGACCCTGGAATTGGAATATTTAGATAAGATTTCTAAGCTGGTATAATGCTATAAGTAGGCTGACATAGCTTTTTAACTGAAGGCACAGACACTGCTGTGGAGACAAACATGACATATTTGATGTGACGTTAGACTTATATGGTGTTTGATTTAAATGGACTCTGTAAAATTTTTTATAAATCAATTGAATTCCATGTTTTTCTTGTTTGGTTTAAACAAAATTTGGAATTCAATTCCAAGAATTTAACCTTGTGGAATTGTTTATAGCCAAAACTGAATTCTATTTAGATTGATGGAATTGAAAATGAATCTCACAAAAGATGGAATTGAAAATGAATCTCACAAAACTAACATAACATCATTTCTATGACTAAAATATTCTCATATCATGTATAGTCTACATTTTATTATAATTATTGATCATTTAGCTACTAATTTTGGTTTAATAATACAAGAAAGCCACGTTCCTCTGAATTCTTAAATATTTAATTGTAAAACAGATAATTGCAAAACAATTGAATGGACTACACTTTTTTTGTTTTTTTTAAAAAGGATTGACATCAAACTTCACTGGCTAGAAGAAGATGGAAACCATAAATTAGTTCTTTTACTTATTTACTATTAGTATGTCTAGACAATTATATTAGATATTTTATATTTTAATATTAATATTATAATGTTTAAGTTTGTTATTGCATTTATCGTTAGCATTTATGATGTTATAAACCTTCTATATCATGGGAGTTCATTTTATATTTATAAATATATAGTTTAATTGTCTTATATAGTTGTTAATCATTATACATTTATTAGATATAATTTTTTTTTTTTAATTTTTTGATAGAGGTAAAAATATTATTATAAATATTACTATTGAGGGGTAGTTTAGGAAGTGGAGATAAATGAAATTCAATTCTGCAATTATACCAAACATCTATTACATGAAATTCAATTAAAATTCTGCAATTTTTTTTAGTTGTTTCAAACCAAACACAGGAATTCATTTCTAAATGAATTCCATGACTCTAATTCATTTCTAAATGAATTCCATGACTCTCTAAATGAATTCCATGACTCTAATTCATTTCTAAATGAATTCCATGACTCTAATTCATTTCTAAATGAATTCCATGACTCTAATTCATTTCTAAATGAATTCCATGACTCTAATTCATTTCTAAATGAATTCCATGACTCTAATTCATTTCTAAATGAATTCCATGACTCTAATTCATTTCTAAATGAATTCCATGACTCTAATTCATTTCTAAATGAATTCCATGACTCTAATTCATTTAAACCAAACTCTATGTTAAAATCAGAAAGTTTTTTAAAACATTGCCCATAAAAAATTGTTGAGCTATTAAATTTGTTTGTGACTAATTATGAATAATATTAATTTGAATGACATTTCCGACATTAACTGTTATAGGTAAAACTACACTTTAATCTAGAAGACATTACTTAGTCATAGTAAGATCTCTTGTACATTAAACATTGTAATAACTCTATATATTGTTATTCTAAACTAAAAACAGTGCAAGTAAAACATTTAAGAAATTATGTGATACAATTTTATGAAATTAATACTGATTAATAATAATTAATCAATCAAAATTAAGTATATTGTAAAGCTAATAGTCAAATTTACTTGTCTTTTGTGATTAAGAATAAGTAATCAAAACTAAAACCGAAAGAGAAAAAAGAAAGTTGTTGGAAAAAAAATATAATGTCTTGTTTGTGTTGGACAATGCAATTTGAAAGCAATTGACATGCATGTCCTGTTTGAAAAGAATCATGTCTTATTTTGACATGTTTTGGCAGGGGCAAAGTTAGTCTTGAGAGAAATGTTTGTGCAGGAATCTAATAACTAAACTCTCAAGTTATTAGGCTACATTGTTTGCTTAAAACGTGAATGTGGGAGAAACAAGTCAAAAAGCATTCTTTCCAATTTACTATCAACTTCTTGTTTGTGATTTCATGACGTTGTATTTACATGTCCAAATTCTATATAGACAATGATTTTAATTTGGGGATGTTATGTGGTTACTGGACCTTAATATTTCAACCTAACACAGAAGGGATTACAAAGAAAAATTGTCTTATGTAATTGTGATTGATTTTTTTGGAACATGTATGGTACACACTAAGATTTATGGAAGCGACTTCTTAACTGGGCATCAATTATGTGGTGTTGGCAGGTAGCAGTTGCTTTGGAAAAGGCTGCACTATCTGATGAGTATTTTGTTAAGAGGAAGCTATATCCAAATGTTGATTTCTACTCTGGGTTAATATATAGGTATGATATCAATGACACTGATATTTACAGTCTTTTTGTGTAATTGGATGTGCCTGATAGATCTTGTTAATTTTTCCCAAAGTAGCACTGCTAGTACTCAATAATTCTTCTTAGCAGAGCAATGGGATTTCCAACGGAGTTCTTCCCTGTTTTATTTGCAATTCCTCGAATGGCTGGTTATTTGGCACACTGGCGGGAATCATTGGATGATCCTGATACAAAGATAATGAGACCACAACAGGTTACATCTCAACTCTTGAATTTTCTTTTTCTGAGTTTCCTCTTGTTATATTTTTTGTGATCTTTGTTCTATATCAAAGCGATTTGTAATTCCAGTTGTCACAAACGCGAACCTTTTTTCTAAAACCTGGAACAGTTGCTATGTCACATTGTAATTCCAGTTTGTCACATACATGAACCTTTTTCTAAAATCTGGAATAGATGCTATATCACATAGCAGACCTAGTTGGTTTTTTTTTTCCAAGCAAGAATTTCACCATCTTGACAGGTAAACCAATATGGGAAGCATACTGTTATAGTTTAACATTAGTTATGCATATGAAGATTCTGAATCTAATTTGGAGTTGCATCATGGTGGTTTCCCTTGATAAGCCTTTCAGGTATAGAATATCAGGAAGCTAAAATAGCATTAACAATTATTAGATGCTTGCATTGAGACTAGATAATTGCTATTTGTTCTATCACATAGCTGCTCAAGTTGGGTTTGCTAGTAGAAGATGCCAATTTGCACCATCCAAACATGTATAGACAAATATATGAACACAACAGTGACAATTTTGACCTCATGTACGATGTGTCCATGGTGGTTCTGGGTGCATGTTTTGGTTTTGAGAGGTTACATGTTTCTGATCCAAGATTGCCTTGTAGCTTTCCATTCACGTATTTCCTAATCTAGAAATAGAGAATGGAAGAAGATTGATAAACTAAAACAATCTTTTTACCATTGTTCGCCTAAATTTCCTGGAACATATATCTAAAATTGTTCCATGCAATCATTTGGATGCTAGATTCCTGAGCACCTTGGAACAGTTTCACATCATGAATATTGCATCTTCTAAAAATATAGTTACTGGGGTTGGTATTTCTGTGGAGGTTTTGTATATAGCTTCTCTTTCAGGAATTGATTTCTGACAATTTAAGTTTTACGGAAAATCTTCCAAATTGAGCCTTTTGGCCACATAATTCTCTCGGGTCAATAAATTTTAGGTGTGGCCTGAAGATGTATGTGGTGTGAGCATCCACACACTTCTGAATCCAACTCATTGTTCTATTTGTTCTAGGCTATGATTCGCTAAAGTTGGATTGTCATTGTTGGGGTTCTAAACATCTGTTTTCAGTTGGTTACTATTGAAAAATTGTCTGTGCTTCAGATGAAAGCTGATGTGACTGCTAAACTCAGGTTTCTTTATGTTTGGACTTGTGGTATTTAGGCATCTATATTTAATTTTCCACTCTCTGATCCAAACATCAAATAATACTTGTGGGACCCTATGCTCGAGATTGGAACTTGTTCAATTGATATAAACTTGTTCAAGAAGTTGATTGGTATTTTCTTAAATGCTTTTTGGCATATAATATTATCATGCATGTAATAGACTTGTTTCTGTACTAATTTCAAGAAGGGAAAAAATTGTCTCAGTTTATAGTGTGATTCAGATATTATAAAAATCTTATATGCCTTCTTAGAAAGTCTTCAAAGCTTCTAGTTTTAGGCTTCTTTCATTGACTAACCAGAGATATAAGCACTGGAGAAATCAATTTTGGAGTACTTTGTCATTTTTCTGAATGTAATACTGATATGTGCTGACTTCTAATGTATATGGTTAATCAGGTGTACACTGGGGTATGGCTTCGACATTATATGCCACTCAAAGAACGAATGGAAGCCAGTGAAGAAGATAGGCTTGCTCAGGTGTCTGTTTCAAATGCATCCAGGCGACGACTTGCTGGATCTGGGATATAGGCTTCCATTTTGATTGATTTAATGTATTAGTCTGAGGGGCGAAGAAAGGAGGAAAAAAGAAAAGAAAAGAAAGAAATAAATGATATGGAAATTGGAAAGGTGAAAGAAAAAAAGAAATAAATAATATGGAAATTGGCAAGGGCAAGGATGAATAAATATCTTTTTGCCTAAAAATTTTAGGTGTCTATCATATAGCATTAAGGGTTTCCTCTTTTATTTGTATTCAGAAACATTATGAGATTTGTGCTGTTTTCAGTAATGCAATGAAATTTGTAATTAGGGACTATATTCTTTTGGTCATTTATTTGGTCAAAATTTTGAATGCTGAATCTGAATTGAGTTGAATGAAGAATCAGGAACCTTAATTCCTATATGGATAATTAGAAGTATTAACCACAGATATCACAGTGAAATGATCAGTGCCTGAAAGATTAATTATTTTTGATAAGTTAGAATAAATGCAATAAATAATTAAACATAATTCGCTTCTCTTGAATTTGATTGTATAAAATGGTTAAACTGATATCTATATGCTTTATGATATTGAAAACTAAATATTTATAATATTTATTTAGTAATTTTATCTTAGCTAAAACATAATTGTCCCAAACTAGTATGAATTAATTAATAATGACTCTAATTTACTCTAAATCATAAACAAGCATTGCCCTTTTTTTTTTCTCCAACAAAAGATCATCAACTTGTAACTGTTGTGAATAAAGAGGTACTAGAGTTAATTTTCTTCCATCATTTTTGTTAATGAACAAACTCCTTTGATTTTATCTTGATTAGCTAAACTATTAACATGTCCTGGTCTTTCCAAAAGCAAGTGACTAGAACTCATTGGAGCCGCATCAGATGATATCTCATCTTTGTTCCTTCCTATTAAAAAGGGAATGAGAATTTGTGCAATCACCTTTACATCACTATCTTTGTTTAACCACTGAAGCTTGTATGGATGAAGGTGTATGTTAGTAGATAATTCCAGTCTTTCCAGCAAGTGAAACGACCATCTTTATCAGTAATAACTCTGCAAATTGTTTTGCTACTAACTGAGAATGTTATGTGGAATATATTCACCTTCAGGTCATCATCATTATTTCTATAAGCATTAGGAGTATGCATTGGTTGCCTCCTTTCCTTGTTATCAATATCTATTTTATCTCTTATACCTCTAAACATCACATTCATGTGCTCGAACAGTTGTTATATAGTTCGAAGGATAAAAAATTCATCTTATTTCTCTACATCACTACTTTTGTCTGACATGATGATAAACAGACAAGAATTGAAACAAACAAACAAAATCAAGCAAAAATAAGAAATATAACAGCAACTATTTGCTACTTCAATAAAAGAACATAATAAGATGATTTAACATGAAAACAAGTATGTACACATAGAACGAAAAGAAACGGAAGTAAACAGAAACAAACGAAAATAAAGCAAAAAGAAAAAGGAAACAAACAGAAGCAAATCCCTGTACACGAATACCTTCCTTCAATCAAATAGATGGATTCCCGGGTTGAGAGAGTACTTCAGGTGGAAATAAACGGAAGCAAACAGAAATAAATAAAATCAAACAAAAGCGAAATAAAGATAGATAAAACTTGATCTGAGCCAAAACTTTGATACCAAAAGAGGCGGAACTCTAACAACTGTCTTGACACCCTAAAATCAGATTTGATATATAAGTCGTAAATTTCAGATTTGATATATCCTAAATTTATATGGCATAACACTTGGATGTCATCTCAAGACATCTTTCTGAAGATTTTGAAAGAATAGTTGGACATTATTGAGTTGAAAAGGAAGATGAATTCTCATTGTCTTACTCAAGCTCACAATCTAATTATAGGAACTTGTATGATTTGCATGGACGGTAGACATAGGTAGATGGGGCCATTTTCAACGAGTTAAGAATAGCATGATGTGGTGAAATCATCGAAGATGTGGAGAGTTCTTTCTACTGGGCTTTATCGGGGTTTATGGACAACTGTCTTGATGTCTTTCTTATCAAGAATTTAATAGTGGGATCATGCTTGAGCTGAATTGAAGGAAATGTTATCACCAAGATGCATTTTTACTTCTCAGTCTCTTATGTTAGCTATTGATTCATTTAGGAGAGATGACTCAAAATTTAGCTTAGTTATTTAGGATAGTTAAGAGATATTATTCATAGGTCCAATATTTCACTTAGATAGGTTAAGAGCTAAGCTAATCTTTTTTTTACCTGTAAATAAATTTCTTAATATTATTAAAAAAAGAGAAAATCGAGGAAAAGTTTAACTGATTCAGGAATCTATCCTAATCTAATAGGCTTTCCCAATACACCAAAACTAAGACCTGAATCAGTTAAATAAAATCCAAAAAACAACTAGGATAAAATTAAATCCTTCACTCTTGAGGTAAGAGTAAATAAAAAAACCCACAACATTATAACCGAGCAAGAAAACTTTCTACAGCATTCACCCCTTTCTTAGCTAGAGAATCTGCAAAATGGTTTTTAGATCTTTGGATATGAGCAAAACAAATATAGGAACACGACAACACCATCTCATCCAATTTGTTGAACAATTTCCACCATTTCCATGGCCTTTTCTCCTTATGCAAACATCCAACCTATTGTGCTTTAGAGTTCGATTCAATTATCAAAAGATAAGATCTCAAAGAAGAGGAAATAAAAATTTGAATAGCTTTAAACAATGCCAATAATTCAGCTTCGTTATAGTCTAATATGCCCGACCGCTTTGTAAACCATGCAATTAACTACACCTGAAGAATTTCTTAAAACTCCTCCGATACCCGCTGGGCCTAGCTTTTCTATAGCAGAACCATCAACATTAAATTTTAAAAAACCATTAGGTGGACTTACCCACTCCTCTAATAAAGGAATACGACTCTTTCTTGCACCATATCTAACTAATGAAGCTCCAGTCAAAAAAGGAGAAGCAAAAAGACTTGCATTTAGCTTTCAGAATCTCAAAGCTCTTCATACTGATAATGTCTATAAGTTTCGAGGCATCCACATTTTCATTTGAAAAGATAACTCTGTTTCTTCTCAATCAAATAGACTACAGGGAAATAAAAAGAATAGCATTCCAAATGGTAGCTTTCCTATTCAAAGCCAGCAAACTATCCTGCTGCCATCCAAGAAGAATTACGGTGCAAGGAAGAACAGCTGAAATTCCCCACCATCTTAAAATTAAGATCCATACCTTAGCATTCCAAATGCCCATTCTCTTTCTATGGCATCATACTCTTATGATCACTTTCAAATTTGGAATTTTATCCTAACTTGTTTATCTTCTTATTATAATTCAAGTTGATGCACATTGCATTTCCCTTCAAAAGAAAATGTTCCTAATTATTAAAAACGTCATTATATCGACATCACCGCCGGAAGTTGGGATTGGTGGTGACAATTTGTAATATCTTTCAGAGACATTTTTCATAAAACATTATAGAGAAGTACTCCCTCGACCGAAAGTTTGTATCTCGGTTTGATTTGCACATAAATTAAGAAAATTTAGTTAATATAATTAAACTATAATTTTTTTCTTCATTTTTTTCTAAAACACCCTCATGTTAGTATCCATAAAAATTAAATGATATATATTAAATTGTTCTCGAAATTAACCAAACATTTGATTAATTAGGGTTTTATTGGAAGATTAAAGGGTTATATGTTAATTTTATTTATATCAAGATTTAATTAATGATAATATAGTAGCTTGACTATTATATTTCTTAATAAAAGCATATTATATAAGGGTAAAATAGTAAATTTTAAATATAATTCACTTCTGAAAAGGAGACAAGAGAACAATTTAGGACAAACGAAAAAGAAAAGCAGGACAAAAATCATGGGACGCACGGAGTATTAATCATAAATGATTTTCTTTTGTAGCTAAAGAAATCATCCCTAATTTTCATTTTTCTTATAGTGACTAAAAATATAAAGAAAAAGGGACAAAAAGCACGGAGTTTGTTAGTTGTATATTGATTGAGTCCCATCTTACAAAGAGGAAAAGAGCCTACTTATAGACAAACACTTAACTTACACAATCACAAGCAATGTAATCATCTTGCATGCAAAGCAATTGAAAGTATTTACTATATTTTAGAATATTCTATGTATAAATTGAGCAAAAAAACTATTAAAATAGTCTTTGGCATTTTTTGGGTCAATGTCAATGCACATATACTGTCAACAAAAATATATTTTTCCTTACAAATATATATTTGTTATTCCTTTTTTTTTTTTTTTTTGAAAAAGAAGAAGTATCATATATTATCTCAAGGAAAAGTAATCTATCAAACATTCAGATACTAAATCCCAAATATGAACACGATTAAAACGATAGGACGCTCTAGCTAAGCAATGAGCACCTATATTATCGTGTCTTCTAATCCAATGAACCTTGACGAATGGAATGGAGGCTAATAACAAAATGCAATATCAAAACATTCAGATACTAAATCCCAAAATATGAACACGATTAAAACCGATATAGGACGACTCTAGCTAAGCAATGAGCACCATATTATCCGTGTCTTCATAATCCAATGAAACCTTGACGAATGGGAATGGGAGGGCTTAATAACAAAATGCATCAAGAAAATAAACAATTACCCAACTCACTCATTATCCTTCTAATCCTTGACGGAAAAGGAGCATTAAAAATACTTTGAGGAATCTATTTAAGAAATTAGTACCCGCACCCTGAATATGTTCGAGCTATAAAACTGTTTAAAGTGAAGCGCAGGGCCAAACCTTCCGCCATAAGTGGAGATGGCTGACCTTCATGGGAAGAACTGGGAAAAGCGCGCAAAAAAATATCCCCTTCATGTCTTCCAAAAAAACGACCCCCTATACCCGGCCGCCATCGATATATAGAAAAAAATAGCAGCATCCCCCTATCCCCGCCGATCGTATATTAGAAAAAATAGCAGCATCCACATGGCAAGTCCACTCTCCCAGATCGGTAATAGCAGGTGTTACTTGCGAAATTTGTACTTGAGGCATTTGCGGCTTTACCAAGGCATTCTTGAAACCCATAAAAACTAGTTAGGTGCCATGAAACACTAGAACAATGAACCAAAGCATCAATAAAATTATTTGAGTAACAAGAAATGGAAACATCAACTTTATTCTTCCAAAGCAAACCAAGACCACCACTTCTCCCATTACAATCCACAAAAAAGCAAGAATCAAAACGCAATAAAGAGCAAAGTTGAACAAGCTTCATTTTATGAACTAAAGTGTCACAAAGGAACAAAATAACAGGGTGGTAAATTGCAACAAAGTCACATAGAGCTTGTACTGTCCGAGGGTTGCCAAGTCCTCGACAGTTCCACTAGAGCTTGTACTGTCCGAGGGTTGCCAAGTCCTCGACAGTTCCACGAAAGGATCTTCATTGCTTCCGGCCATCCTGCCTCACAGGATCGACCGATGTGTGTTTCTCTGACTGATTGATGGTCGAAGTGTTACCAGATGCAGAATCACTTTTATGAGAAACTGCAGTGGTGTTAGGAGTTGTAGGAATAACTTGTTGTCTTTTTTTAGTCTCATCACTGATACATAAAGCCACATCTCCAATTCCGCCCACTGCAAAAAAAAAAACTCGTTTTCTCCACTGTGGGTCTGTTGCCAAACAAGAAGATGTTTATTAAAGAACCAAGGACCATCGGAGACAGCCCTGTCCATATCAACCATATTGTAGAAACGGAAGAGAAAACGTTTGGCTCCAACTTCCTGGATGTCCATTCCGCCTAAAGGATGCCAGAGATATGCTAGTGTGTGTTTCATAGCCTCAAAGCAAATATGCCAACCAAACAGAAACTATATGGGTCAACTAGAGGGTTATGAGTTTGATTAGGAAGGGAAAGCCCAGTCTCCTCCTCCTTAACTATAGAAAGGTGGGCAAAATTATCTTCCATGACTGAAATGGAAAAATTTCAGGCAAGAGGAAAGAGGTTGATTGTTTCGTTAGTGTCATGGAAATGGGAAGAACTGGAAAAATGGGAGATGTTTATGGTTTCATGGCGATAAAAGACAAGGCGTGCACATGGTTTCGTTGAGTGGAAAACAAAAGTTGCATTGTTTAAGGTATCCAAAGCTTGCACAACAAAGAACAAGGCGTGCACATAGTTTCACTGAGTGGAAGACAAAAATTACATTGTTTCAAGGTATCCAAAGCTTGCACATGGCAGAGAGAACGTGCACATGGCAGAGGAAAAAGAGAGTTTTTTACATTTGTTCTTCCTTAATATCCTTTTTGACAGCTTATATTCAACCCTAAACGTGCAAATTTAAACATTTCAAAGTTCTATTATATGATCTAAATGAGCATGGAGCAATAATCCTATCATGTATACTAATATTTAATTACACAATTGATCAATATGATATTCATAGTTCCAATAATTTAAACATATTTCATCAGATTCAACCCCTAATTTTACCCTAAACATGTATTCTAAGAAGTTGTAAAGAGTATTTGAGAAGTAACTATTAAAGCGATAATTTTTCATCCTTTTTAGAAGCTAATGGGCACTTATTACTAGATAAATGTTGTATTCTCACATAAACTCATTTTTCTTTCTCCAGCTCAAATCACATACACACACACACAAAAGAATGGCCAAATGCTAATTATTTATAGACTTCCATAATAAGCTTTGCACCCAAGCAAAGCAACAAAAGAATTTTGCTTGAAGAAAAAGTCACAAAATTTAAGGCATTGGTCAACAAGTCTCCACCCGAATTGAATTTTCCTTTCTTTGAGTTTTGCGAGACTCTAAAGCTTCTTGTGCTTGGTCCATTATCAAAGTATCCTTTTCCACCAAGCTCCTTCCGTTCTATATCTATCATTTTCTCAAGCTTTCTTATCTCCTTACCTTTCATTACTTTTGCTAGACCTTATTGAATAAGGAGATCCTTCACTCTTCTTTGCCAAAAAATGAAACTAGTTTTCCCCATCAAACTTTTCCACTGAGAAAAGTGATGGATTGTTTTCCATCTTATAGAAGTTAATGTCTCTACCAAGTTGCAATACCCATTGCCACATTGAACCAACGGCTTTGATACCACTTGTTACGAAGAACTACCTAAAACCACTTGTTATGAAAAACTCAATAGCTCACAATGATTAAATAATTGTCCAATAAGTTCAATAAATCAAATAAATAAGTATTGCTGAGAAAATAATATGAGACAAATGATCTTAACGTGATTCGAAACATTACCTATATCCATGAATAATATTAATTCTTTCACTATGCGAGAATAAAATAATACATACAAATATCGTAATTTTTCCTTGAATTATACCTATTTAAAAACCCCAAAATATTTGTATAACTCTGACATAAACTCTAGAGAATTATTATCAAACTCGAGAGTAAACTCACTCTCAAACCAGTGTTTAAGCCAACCCACTAAAGCAATCACCTCTAGAATCCTAGAGTAAACTACCCAAAATCTAATGTTTAAGCCAAACCCACTTAAGCAACCATCCTCTAGAACCCTAGAGTAAAGTACCTGAAATTTGATATTTAAGTCAGCCCCACCAAAACAACCACTCTTTAGAACCCTAGAGTAAAATATCTGAAATCTAGTGTTTAAGCCAACTCTATTGAAAAACCTACTCTCTAGAACCCTAGAATACAATACCTGCAATTAATTATATACAGTCAATTACACCGAGAGTAAAAGTGCACTCTCATATAACCCCATTTTTTCTTTCTCCAATTCAAATTACATACAAACACCAAAAAATGGCTAAATGCCTATTATTTATAGACTTCTAAAATAAGCTTTACACCGAAACAGAGCATGAAAGAATTTTGCTTGAAGAAAAAGTCACAAAATTCGAGGCATTGGTCAACATGACCGATATTTATGAGATTATCCAATATTAGATCTAGAAATTTTTTTTTTCTGGGGTCAATATATATTTTTAAAGGAAAGATGGGTCTAAGACATAAACAAATTGAAATTTAATGCATAGACAAAAGTACATACATATTAAGAAAATTGAAAAAAAGAGAGTCAATTGAGCCTTTTGTTTATTTGGCCGATCAGCCAATAGAATTATCGGTAATTATTAAGGGGTAATGATATTTCCAGAGCTAATATTGTTAAATAAAGAGCAAATATTTTGTTTAGACAAAATTACCCTCTCCTTAGCACGTTAAACTTCTACTATCCTGATCATGAACTACCATCTCCTAACCTACAGCAACGATATCTTCGTCTTTGTTGGATTTGCATCAACTATTGTTATGATATTGTGGAGGTTGTTGAGTATTGAAATTACTTATGAATAAGGAGATTAAATACAGAAATACTTTGGTAGAGTGAATAAGGAGAGGAATAAATCAAAATCTGTAAACGCTTAACCTAGAAATCATTTATTGCCTAAAGAGAGAGCCATCAACAATATTGTTCATATTTGAACCCAAAGATATTTTGATAAATATCTAACATTAGTAAACAAAAGAGAAAAATACCTTGATTTTGTTGAAAAAATAGAGCTAAAAATAGTTTAGAACAAAAAAAAATATATATCTTAGAGGAATTTAAGCAAATACTTGGTAGGCACATAAATTTGCTAGAAATAGGAACACACATTTTTGTTCATCTTGAACTCCTTTAAATACAATCCAAATCAACATCAACTACTTCCTCAATCCTAGCAAACACAACTCACATTCAGCAACATAATAGCAATAAAATAAGACATTAATTAATAACCTTTGACTGACTCAAAACATGTGAAAAAATATGACCCAAAAAGAAAATAGTAAAAGATTTTTACATTACTTACTAACATTCTCCCCCTTAATGGAAAAATCTACTAAGCCCAGCATATCTCTAAAATAAGCAAATTTCTCGAGAATGAGTGTCTGTGAATACATCCGCAATTTGCTTGTTGGAGTTGCCATACTTCATTTCAATATTTCCTTCAGTAACCAGCTCCTGAATAAAATGATGTTCGAATGTCGATATGCCTTGTCCAATTATAATGAACAAGATTTTTTGTCCATGGCAATGGTGGACTAATTGTCACAGTAAGTCATTGTTGCCTTCCTTTGCTTCTGCTTCATATCTTTCAAAATTCTCCTTAGCCAAATTGCTTGGCAACCTGCTATAGTGATGGCTATGTACTCAGCCCCAAATGAAGAAAGAGCAATTGACTGTTGCTTCTTTGAACACCACGAAATGACATTTGATCTAAGCATGAAGAGATACCCTGAAGTGCTTTTGTGATTATCCATCGAACTTGCCCAATTGCTATCACAAAGTCCAGATAACTCAAGATTGTTGGCGTTAGAGTACAAAAGTCCATAGGAGGATGTTCCTTTCAAGTATCTCAACACCCTTTTTGCAGTACCATAATGAGTCTTGCCTGGACTTTGCATAAAACGTATGAGAGACTGGTAGCTTGCAGAATGTCAAGACGACTGTTAGTAAGGTGAGTAGACTCCCTGCTAAACTTTGATAAACCTGAGGGTTTGCCTTTTAATCTACATCATCTAAGGTGTATTTTTGATTAGCAATCGTTCGAACTTTCACCAGATTACTATCTTTCAAATGAAACTTCTCAAGAAGATCATTCACATACTTATGCTGTGAAATGAAATTTCCTACATGTTGTTGCACTTCCAGCCCCAAAAAAATATCTTATTTGCCCCAAATTAGTCATCTCAAATTCAACAACTATAATCCTTCTGAAGTCATCAATTGAAGCAATATTATTTCTAGTATAAATTAAATCATCCACACAAAGACAGATTATCAATATCTCATCAGCCCCTTGTGTTTTACATATAAAGTGGGCTCACTTGCACTCTTTTGAAAACCATTTTTGGTGAAGTGCCCATCAATCCTCTCATATTAGGCCTGTGGTGCTTACTTGAGGTCGTAAAGAGCTTTCTGCATCTAATACACCTTTATTTACTCACCAAAAACTTCATAACCTTGAGGCTGCTAAACATATACTTCTTCTAAGAAACCATTTAGAAAAGTTGATTTGACATCAAATTGAAAAACTTTCCATTTATTATGTGTAACAATTGATAAAACAGTTCAAATGGTGCCAAACCTGGCCACCGAAGAGAATGTTTATTCGAAATCAATGCCTTCTCGTTACATGTATCCATAGGCAACTATTTGAGCTTTGAATTTTTGAATTGATCCATCAAGTTTGTATTTGAGTTTATACACCCGTTTCAAATGAGATGTCAAAAAGCTCCTAAGTTTTGTTTTTCTCCAATGCTGCCATCTTCTCATCCATCGCATCATACCATTTACTGCTTTTTATAGCTTCTTCAAAGCTACTTGGCTCTTCAATTTTTGCAAACTGCATTACTCCCTTTGTGCATATATTTCAGCTAATGACCTCCATTTGTGTGGAGGTGTGCTTGAAGAAGAGGAGCTTCGTGATGAAGAGCTGGAAACATTTGTTCCGGGTGATGAAGGACTAATGTTAAGTGTTGAAGAGCCCGAACCACCATCTTCTATGTACTCTATCGATTCAATGAATTTGTCATCTTGAATATAACTAACACCTGTCTACATCTCATATCAATTTCATGGATTTTTCTCATCAAAAACAACATCACAACTTATTAGAAATTTGTTAGAAGAAGGATCATAAAAACGGTGACCCTTTGTTTCCATGCTATAGCCCACAAATACACATTTCACACTATTTTCATCAAATTTTTCTCTTTTTAAAATGGCACTAACACATAAGCAACAAAACCAAAGATTTTAAAATGTTTTACCTTTGGATTCCACCCATACCATGCCTCAAAAGGTATTTTGATTCGACAAGACTGATGTAGGACTTTGATTTAGGATATATGAAGCAGTATGAATAGCTTTTGCTCAGAAACTTTTCAAAAGACATTTGACTTTCAGCATACTTTTGGCCATTTCCATAAGACTTTGGTTCTTTCTCTTCACCACTTCATTTTATTGAGGAGCGTAACGAGCTGTCAATTGCCTTTGAATTCCCAATTCTTGGCACAATTTGTCAAACTCCACTGAAACAAATTCACCACCACGATCTGTCCATAAAGTCTTAATTGCCACTTTGCTTCTCAATAGAGTAGTTGAACTTCTTGAATGTTGGCAGCACCACTGGCTTTTCTTTAATAAAGAAAACCCAAGTCATTCAACTATAGTCATCAATAAATACAACAAAGTACCTGCTGCCATTAAGAGACGAAGTGCGCATTGGTCCGCAAACATCAGCATGTATCAGTTCAGCTACCTAGGAAGCTCTCTTGATTTTGCCTTCAGGAAAACAATCTTTATGATGCTTTCCAATCACAAAACTTTCACAGACATCAGCACCATGGTTTATAATAGGCAACCTATGCACCAGATTATGTTTAGACAGAAAATTCAGACTTGCAAAGTTCAGATGTCCATACCTATGATGCCACAACCAGTTGTCATCTTCCAATGAGGCTGAGAGTGCTTTCCTATAATCATCAAGGAAAAAAGGAAATAAATTATTCTTGGCCATAGAAACCTTGAACAACATGTTTTTATTTATTTTGTCCAAAAAAACTAAGCATAAGAAATCTTCAAAGACCAGAGAATAACCTTGTCTTAGAAGTTGCCCAACGCTCAACAGGTTTGAATCCAGATCAGGGATATAAAGAACGTCATTGGTGCACCCAGCTCTTGTAAAATTAATCTTCATAATTCCCTTCCCTTGTGCTTCACGAACAACCCCATCACCCATCTTCACTCTAGTCTTTATCGATTTGTCTAAATTGATGAAGGCCTCCAAGTTTGTTGTCATATGATAGCTGCACCCACTATCCATATACCAAACATCTGATTCACAAACTTTAGCATTATAACATGCAAGAAATAAGATTTCACACACTTTTTTCTTCTTGCTCAATAAATTTTGTTTGTTGTTCTTTCAGCTTACAATACTTTTCTATATGGCCATACTTGTTACAGAAATGACAGCGAAACTTTCAGGTATTTGTATTACTATTACTGCTAGACTAGTTGTGGTTATTTACTCGTGCTCCTCCTTTGTAGCTTCGTCCACCTCTTCTTCCTCGAGAGGAATTGCCTCCATGATTGTTACAATAGATGTCGCGTTCTTGCGTCATTTGATTATCTTTAAACAAATGCAATTTAGTGTAGAAGGCCTTCTCAACTGGGCTTTCTTCACAGCCTTCCCATCTATCTTCAGGAGATTATAGAAAACCCAACAACTCATCAACTGTGAGCGTCGTTAAATCCTTAGACTCTTCTATTGCAGCCACTGTAGATTCATACTTTCTTGGCAAGCTCCTTAAGATCTTCTTCGCAACTTTCTAGTCTGAAAGTTGCTCATCGTACTTCCTCATTTTATTCACCATTTCCATCAGATTGCAAAAGTATTAGTCCATTGACTTTGTATCTTTCATGAACGAACTTTCGAACTTCCTTCGAAAAGTTTGAAGCTTGACAGTACCACCTTTGTTGTCCCTTGATACCCATTCTTGAGTGCATCCCTTACTTCCTTCGATCTTGTTGCCGCTGAAATTCGGGGGAAGATTGAATCATTCACTACTTGTTAGATGAAAAAGAGAGCTTTGGCATCTCTCTTTCGAACATCTTTAAGAGACTCAGTTGGTACACCCTCTTCAACATAGCCATTCTCGACCAGCTCCCATAAATCTTGTGACATGAAGAGAGTCTTCATCTTTGTGCTCCAGACTTTATATCCACTGCCTTTGAAGAAGGGAATTGCATGCACAATTGAATGATCCCAACATTGTTGCTCGCAATTAGATAGTTACTCAGGCCTCCTCCAACTAAAAATCAAGCTCAGATACCAGATGTTGAAAAACCAGAGCTGAAAATAATTAAGAACAAAAAAATTATATATCTCAGAGGAATTTAAGCAAATACTTGGCAGACACATAAATTTGCTGGAAAAGGAACGCACGGTTTTACTCATTTTGAATTCCTTTAAATATAATCCAAATCAGCCTCAACTACTTCCTAAATCCTAGCAAACACAACTCACGTTAAACAACTTAATAGCAATAAAATAGGACACTAAATAACAACCTTTGACAAACTCAAAAACATGTGAAAAAATTTGATCCAAAAAGAACACAGTAAAAGATTTTTCGTTACTTACTAACAGGCTTTTCCACAGATCTAGCTAAACATCAACAGATGCACTCTCCTATTAAATAACAAGCAACCCCATAATACCACATGTAACTTTTGTAAATGGTTTAGCTTGCTTACCTATTAGATACGAAATTGGAAAATTACTTCTAGTGTACTTTTATTTTATTTTTCATTCTTGCATGAAACAAAATTTATATTAATTAAAAGAGAATTTAGTTAAGTATAGTATTAATATTTCAAATTGAATTAGTTTATACTAAAAAAAAGAATCAGTTTCTTCAAAGTATGCAAAAGACATTATAGGGAAGGCATTAAGCAAATGTATAACATTGTGCATGTGCAGAAATATGTAAGAATAGTTGCAGATAAGGACAATTTTGTCTTAAGAAAATATTTGCTCTCGAAATAATAACATCACCCATATCAAGAATAAAATACCAATTAATACTCTCGGTCTTCTTTTGGCATTGCACTTAGTGAAAACCCTCTTTTCCTCTCTTTATTGAGCCATATGAGTGCCTTCATTATTCCTACTTTTGCTACTTGCTTCGCCATTGTTAATTGTCGAGCCGAGTTTCATTTTTTTTTAATTATATTTTAATTCTATTCAATTAGCGAAAAAATTGAAAACAAAATAAAAATTGTAAAATATTTTTAACACCTCATTCAGTATAAATGAATTAAAAAAGTGAAATTTAATTTATAAATGAATTTTAGAATTCATATGTAAATGAATTTTTTTTTATGTTTGAAAGAAATTCAAAATTTGAAAATCATTTGTTTTGATTCGTAAAATACATTTGGCCAAATAATTTTGTAAGGTTAAGAGGACGGGGAGTTTTATCATAAAGCTTTTCTTCTTTAGGCTTATGGAATTTATTTGAAAATTTCATATTTTTTTTTGATAAAATTTGATGTAATTTTATTCAAAATCATAAAAATAAATTCGTAAAATTGAATTCTTCAAGTTTTTCATATCAAACACAAATATTCAAATTTATAAATGAATTTCACAATTTTTTGTAATTCATTTATTCCCAACAATGAATCAGCGATAGATTAGCAATAGATTTTAGATAATAAAATCTTGAATCACTTTGGCAATAGAATAGTGCTGAGTCACTAATCCATAGCTAATTTAGCTACAAATTATATTTTCTATTGGTAATTGATTACCAAGCTCTTTAGCAACAAAAGCAATCCATCATTAACCTGTTGGTGCATTGAATTACTGACGAAAATATTTAATTACCGATATTTTTGTAGCGACTAAGGTTTCAATTTCCGTTGCTTTTCTTCATGGATCTTATGTTGCTTCGAAAGGTAAATATCCATTTGGGTTGGACTAGATTATACTAACCTAAATGGTTTTGGCTTAGATTCTTGGACCTAAATAGTGCTTTTTAGTAGGTTTTTTGGGTATGTTGTTTAATGCTTTTTGCTGGTTTTCGAATAGAAGTCCAGAAGGCTTATAAAAGCCTATGCGTGGAGATGAAATTATAGTTTTTGGTGAATTTCCTTGGTTTAATTTGTTAGGTAGAATCATAGGTTCTCTTGAGTAAAATTAACTGTTTTGATAGCCGTTATCTATTTTAGTAGCAATAAGTTGTTAATTGTTTGAGTAGCTTTTTATAAAACGTTAAAAGCTAAATGTTATATGAGTTAACTTTTTATAAAACGCTATTTTAACCTCTAAAAATTAGTTCAAACGTTATGTTATCGAACACTATAGAAATAGAGTTTAGTTTAAACTTTTAGCCAATCTAAACACTAAAAACTACTTAAAAAGCTATTGTTGAACACAACTTTAGTTCATTAACAAAAATGTAACGATAGAATAACATGCATATCATCTTATGCAATAATAAAGGTTCAATGCAAAAATTCGTTCTTTTAATTTTCCTAAAAAATCTTGTGGCACTCTCAACTTTTATGTTGATCCGTTAAACACTTCGACTTGTAAAATTGTACTCATTAAATACTTCAACTTACATAAATTATTATATTGAATACTCAAATTTATAAAAGTAGATTGATTAAACATTTATTGGATAGTTGAAAAATGTGAAAATCATTGTTCTATGACCATACATTAAGTGAATATTTTTTGCATATGAATGCTAAAAATACCAAACAAACTGTTATTGTGAATATGGAGAATTAAAGAAACAATATTACCAAAATTTGTAACTTCAAGGGTACAATAGGTCCCTCGTATTTGAAGTGCCATAAGACTTTTTTGATAAAATACATGGACAAATTTATACATTTGGTCCAATAATAAATGTTAGTGGATGTATATATATGTGACATCCTACTGAATCGAGTCGTTGCATAGAGTCGAGTCGAGTCGGGCCGAAATAGAACCCGGTTCGAGCCATTTAACTCCAGAGTGGGGTAGAATGGGATGTAACTTAAATAAGTAAGAGCAGTGGACTTACTTGCATAAAACAAAAAGATACCCGGTTGGGGTAGAAAGGGTTTATAAGTGGACTTACTTGAGTGAAACAAAAAGATCAAAGTATAAAGAGTAGGACTTACTTAAACAAAAAGATTAAAGTATAAGGAGTAAGACTTACTTGCACTAAAATATAAAGTTTAGGTATTAAAATGTAACATATGGAAAATATAGGTACTATTTGATAATTTTAACATACAATCAAAGAGATATTTGGAGAGTACACGACCTTAATTTCATTTTCCCTTTTCATCTTCATCTTCAACGTCTTCTTCATCTACATCTTCCTCTTTATCTCCTTCATCTTTCTCTTCATCTCTTTCCTTTCTTCATCACTTTTCATGTGATTTAAACACGAAATTAAACCTAGAACTCTATCCAAGTAAGTAGCCTTTCTTGAATTTCATACTTTTGTGATATTTTAGATGATTTGTTATTATGGATAGGAGAGGGGAGCTCAAAGTAGGAGGAAAAGGAAGCTAAGAAGAAGCTTTAAAGCTCTTTTGGTTGAAAGTTTGATATCTCTTTTAGTTTTTCACATTTTCTTGCATGAATACTTGTGTAGTGTGTTGATAATGAAAACATATATTACTGAATGTTGTACTGGAATGTTTGAATTAGAGGTCTTAAATGGTGATAATGCTGGGATGAATGAATTGAATGAAGTAGAAATATTGAAATTCAAATGATGAACCAAAGTTTGTTGGACCAACTGACCAGTAAACTTCATACCATAATTTGACTCTGTTTTAACATGAAATTAGGAAATAAGTATAAGAAGATTTTATTTGTTCCTACTATGTTTTAGCTGTCCATGAAGTTTTTGAAATCACTAATTTGGAGTGTATAAATTGAGAGATATGACCAAAATAGTACACAGGCTGGAAATCAACAGTCTGGACGGACTAGAAGTTGCTCATTTCGGTAAATATTTGACTACCTTACCAACGTAATTAAGAGATGTGGTAGAAGACAAATTTGTAGCCTAATGTGGTATCTAACCATATAATGTAGAATCACCTAAATTGGAGTTATAAATTGAGAGCGGTGACCAAAATAGTATAACCTGTGCAGGCTGGAAACCAATAGCTGGGCAGACTAGCAGTTGCTACTTGAGCTCAATATTTGACTACCTTACCAGCGTAATTAAGAGATGTGGTAGAAGAACAATTTGTAGCCTAATGTGTTATCTAACCATAGAATGTAGAATCACCTAAAGTGGAGGTATAAATTGAGAGATATGACCACAATAGTACAAACTATGCAGGCTGGAAACCAACAGCTGGGCAGACTGGCAGTTGCTACTTGAGCTCAATATTAAAATGTTTGTTGGGCAATGATATGTAGGGCTTCATGCCAACCTAAGATTTATACTTGAATTTGAAACTTCTGAGTTTTGAGTTTAAATTAACGCAATAAAATTTCTTAAACTGACTGTAGAAATTAAAGTTATCTAATGATTGGTACAAGTGCCTCCACGGGTGCATCATTTAAGATTCATGCAATTATCAATTGGTGCTTTAAACTTCGATTATCTATGATATCCTCTTAAAGCATGAAAAGAATGAGACAACATATCAGTAAAACAACATGGGTTTATGAATTGATGAAGAATTGAATAGCTTTTTGTTTTTGTATTCTTTGAAATACCGATAATATGCTTCTCGCATTGAGATTAGGCAGAAACCATGTAGATAAGAAACTAATGTTCGCGACCCATAGGAATAGCCAGATCTGGTCGCATCGCATACAGTTTGGTACTCCGGCTTAACAGGCGTTGAGTGGATATGATTATATGATGGGCCATATCAGCCCAGCATCCAGAATTCATCCAGTTTCATAACAGTTATTCATACAGGTTCTTTCTACTCTTCGGTTTCAGCTGTAACACTAATTGGAGCATACAGTTCGGAGATTTATATTATTCTTCACTGCTTATATGATGTAAAAAATTCATAAGTCATACAAGCATAATGAATAGAAGTAAATAACTGAAAATGCTAATGCAATATTGCTTAATATGTTATTTAATCATTGATATCATGACAGTATAATGATATTGTGTGCTGAGTGTTTATTTTATAAGTTGAGATATCCACTGGAGCTTTATTTGGCTCAGCGAGTTTACTTGTTTATCGTAAAAGGTTTGGGTCTGGACGAGAGAACATCTTAGCAACGCGCGTTGCATCTTTTGAAGATCCTCTTCAGGGTAGCTACTCATTTTGATATTTAATTCCTGTCTATATTTTATCATGGCAATGTACAGGCTTAAGTTGGGCCCATTTCATTTGGACAACTAGTATATATGTCGTGAAAATTATTAAGCACAGTACTAAATGTGAAAGCAACAGCATGAATAGTAATAGTCAGTATACATTATGATATCAGCATGACAGGACATTAGAGTCCACCAGATTGTAGCGTATTGGTCCACTAGGAAGTGCTAATGGATTGCCATTGTTGTGGCCCTTGTTCCCTTGAGCTTCATAGGTGGTTGGTGGTAGTGGATCCGTATCAGAGCACTAGTTTCGTTTCCCGGGTTTGTATACACATGTTAGTATAGTGTACATGCCATGACTACCCTGATGAACTAAGCAGTTGTTATTCTTTTAGGAGGATGTCACAGGAAGGTGAAAGCGAGTCACATGCCTCC